AGATCACTCTTATCTTATAACTCTGGTAGTCAAAGAAGGCACCAGTCTGAGTTAAGCCAGTAATAGAGTAATTACTCATCAAATCATGGTTTTCTTTGCAGTATGAGAATGAGACATATATGTTATGTAATGCCGATAAATTACCTCAAGGGCATTTCAATAATCTTGCTACTCTATATGCATGCTATATAAAGATACCAGCATCTATAGGAGCCAGGGGTATTCTCCCATTATTCTCTTCATTCATTTATTTGGACTGTGTGTTAATCTTTTGAGTAAAGACTCGCTTGAGGGTTAAAACAGTAGAACAACAATTCCAACGTCCCCCGATTATCTTTATCTTATAAGTCCTTTGAATAGGGTAACGGGTTAGGATGAGATGGGTTTTTATTTTTATTTTTAAATTTATTTTATTTAATTTTAGCCTGATTTAATATTGAATTATTATTTTTGATATTCGATTTTGATTAGATGGGTAAATAAATAATTTGTGTTTAATCTAAAATTAATTTAATAAAATATTTATAAAAATATTACTTTTAATGTAAATTACATTCTCATTATATAAAAATATAATATTTTTATTAAATTCATATATTAAATTAAAATATTAAATAATAATTTGTTAATATATAATAATTATAAAATTAAATAAATAATAAAAATATTTATTTTTTATATGTACACGTTGGTGGGTTGGGCTAGAGTACCCCAAAATTCACCTCTAGCTGAACCCTAGCCTTTTAAAAGAGTACCCATCCCGCCTCTAATTTGACTTCGAATTAAAAACAGAAATTCTATTTTATCCAATTAGGAGGAGTTAAATTTATCAAGTACGAAATTATTTTTTATCTCTATCTCCGATTGTATGTCGGTTTATTAATTTTTTAAAAAATAATTATTTTAATTTTATTTTAAATATATTAAATAAATTTAGGTATAAAACAATTATTTTATTTTTAAAAAATTTAAAAAATATAAAAATTATAAAATATATAATTTGATTAGAATATTTTCAATTTTGTACTTTTCAATCCGAAAATCAAATCAAATTAAATCAAACATTCAAATTTAATTAAATCAAACCAAATAAAAAAAATCCAAATACTACAATTTTAAATTTAATTTTGATTTTTTTCACCCTTAGTTTATCTTAACTCTTCGATCATGATTTAAAATTTTACGCTTTTGATTTAAATCATACTATAATCATCTTTACAAAAATTTCAAAGAACATACAATGTTAGCCGTGATTTTTCTTAGAAAACATTCTACAATAACATTTTTTTTTAATTAAAGAGGAAATAGGTTTAAGTTTTTTGTTACTTAATACTAGAAATAGTAATTTGTCTAAATTAATCTTTCTTATAGTTAGTATAGTACTATATTGGAAAGATCAGTAATTAAATATATATTTATAAAAGGTTTGTCATTGGATGCTCTGGGGATTTGTGGAACCTGTCCTCTCTTCAGGGGTGGTCAGTGTTGTACTCTCTGTATATATGATCATAAATTTAAGCTCCATTAATTTAAGACTGACAAAGATACGAGTAATTAGAAGGCCGATAACTCTAAAATCTAAAAAAATGTGGCCCTTTCCAAAGTGTAGTTGTTACAATAACCAAGAATGTTTAGTTGAAAATTTTAATTAAGAATGTCACGTGTTGACTGATGAATAGGGCAAAGGGAAGCAAGTAGACGTAAAGTGGTCAAAGACTTGTTGTGCGTGCGAGGGATGGAGTGCCCCTTTTTGGTTGATCAATGCCACACGGTTGGCCACTTCGATCCCACCCCTCTCATTAATTTTTTCATCACAACTTATTTTGGAACCCAACAAAAAGGTTAATTTAAAGTATAGTTAGAAATTAATGTTTTAGTAATAGGATGATTAAAGTTTCGATTCTCAACTCAACTGGATTTCATCCATCAATTCGATTTTATTGATTATATAATTTTGATATTAAATATGTATTAAATGAAGTGAACATATAACAAAAACATAGAATTGCATAGGATACATTAAAATCTTAGTTCTCAAAATTAAGTATTTTTAATTTTTTTTAATAAATAAGGTTTTTTAAGTCTATGTCATTGTCTAGATGGTCAAATTGCTAATGCAATTCATCATTTTTATCGTTTTGTTTTGTTTTTTTTTTTTTTTTAAATATTTTTCATTCTCTTGTAATGCTTTTCTTCTCCTCCATGTGAACAACGTTGCAGAAAAAATTAACTGATGCTAGTGTGATAATGCTAGAGGAGAGCCCCAAATTACCAGGTTGCAAGAATCCGTAAATTACTTTATCAACCTCACTTCTGTCTTTTCCTATTTTCCATAAACAACTTATTTGTTTTCTTGGCTTGCCCCACTAATCAATTGGCATCATTGTTCATGAAAGATGACATCTTTAAGTAAAAGACCAGAAAAATTATATAGTTCCCTCAGAATCTCTTCTTTTCGGCCATGGAATAATTATCATATTTCAGGTTTTTGACTTACATCTCTTTTTATGGTATTCTATCAAACACCAAACCCATTTCTTCACAAAATTTATCCAAATTCAAGTATTTTGCGAAATCAAGTTCTATTGAAATCTAAGTTTTTACACAAATTCCACTCATGTATAACTTTATCTTTTTATATCCAACAGGGTCACCGTTGCTTTAAGGAGAAACTATCAACAACCAATAAAATATCAAATATATTATTATAGAATTCATGTTAACAATGGAACAAAAAGATTGCATTAAAGTCACTTTCCTTTTTGGATAATTGTAAAAATCCAAAGAAGTAGAGCAAGTCTGCTAGAAGAAATAACAACAAAAAGTAGGAAAAAAAAAAGAGCATAGCCAACAATTAGTGGCTTATACCTAAGTTCCTACAAAAAGTATTTGTTAGAGTACTTAATGACTATGACAATTAAAACAAAAATGAACCCACACATATACAGCAACTCTTTGAAACATTTCGTCTGGAATCTTCAACTTGTTTGTTTTCTCTCTTGAATTTCTTTCTCAACATTGATGCTCTCGATGCAAGTTTGAGAAGAATAGAAGTCTACTCGACTAGTCTTTCAAGGAAAAATTTCAAATGATAATACTAGACCTTGGATGTGGGTGAAAATTTATTAGCAATGAGGGAATCGTTTTAAATTATTTTATATTGTAACAAAAGATTAACCAATAATGGTACATAGAAGTGGTGAAAGAAAAGACAAGGAAAAGTAAGAAAATAAAAAGAAAAAATAAAAAATAAAAAATTAAATCAATTTCCACGTAGACAAAGTAGATGATGATATATGGTTGACATGGCTTTTAGTACTCAATTTAAAGAAAAAAAGATCAGAAGTGCCTTTATTTAAGAATAAAAATTTGAATGTACACTTGTGCAGAAAAAAACTCCATCGAGTTGGTTCAATAATAAGGTAATTAGTGAAGGTTTAAGAGGTCAAAGATTCAAAAAGTTTAAATTTTTTAAAAGACTTAATATTAAAATAAATAATCAATACCAGTCATTCCGCTCAGGTTTGGATTAGTCCTCACAACATAATTGATCAATTTGCTATCATTTTGATTTTAAGAGATACGGAAGAGATTTTAAATTTAAATTTTATTATATATATAAGTTTGAATCAATTTTGTATTTATTTTGTTTAATTATATTTTAATTAATTAATAAATAATTTATTATATATAAACGTAACACTTTATTATAATTATAATTTTTTATAATTATAAATTTATAAAAAAAATCATCGAATATCTATTAAATTTCGGTTTGATCCTTTCATTTGATTTTGACAACATTGATAGAAATTATTATATCATGAATTCGTAGGCTTTAGTTGTTACGTTTATTTTATGAAATTATTATTTAGTTGATATTGTATTCTTTTAAGATTATCAATTTGAATATCGTTATTTTTAAGATTATATTATATTTTGTTTCTATTATAAATTCTATTTGATTTTTTTTTTTTGCCAATGAAAGATATGAAATTCCATTTGAATAGTGTTTTTTAATATAGTTAATTAATCACAATTAAAAATTATGTAAGATTTATCAAAATTTTATATAAAACTTATACTTGTAAGTATTAAATTTTTATATAATTTTTATAATATAATTAGATAATTGTAATATTATAATAAAAAGAATTATAAGTTTATGCTCTCTTTGTTTTTAGTTTTCTCTGTTCTCCTTTTTTGCTTTATACTTTCTACTAAAAAATAAAAAAAAAACAAGTAATCAAAATATTAATCAAAAGGAGCCATTGTGATAGAGTAAGAGTAATCTTTTATTTATTTATTTTTTTATCTTTCGAGAAAGTGAAGTATAGAAATGCAGACGTATAGTTTGATGTAATTTAAGTTAATTTTAATAAAATTCCAAAATTGAGTTATCCTTAATAAACTCTTATTTTTCATTGTTTACTGTTTGATACATATCACATTATTAACATTTATTGTATATATATATATTTATATTTGAGACTGCTAACATTTGTAATTATTTTTTAATATATTTAAGATTATTAATATTTGATCACTATCAATAAAATTAAGAGTTCAGCTCTTTACGAATAAAATACATGGACTGTTGGCAAAAACTTGCAAACTGTAAGAATGCATTTGTAGTACCCCTCTCACACTGTCTCCATATTTCTAGTTTCTGGTTTTCTCATGAGCAGGGCAATTGAGTTTGAATTTTCCCTTAACCTAAATATAAGGTACAACAAAATTAAGTTGGTTAGCAAAAGGTGAATAAATTTTGTTTTGTTTTAGTTATGTGGGGGAAGACACAAATGGATCAAATGGAAAATTCAGGTGTTCATTTCAAGGTCATTTTCACACAAATAGAACGACCAAAGCTACAGTTAAATCTTAAGGACATGAAGTCATGATCCACATAACTGGGCTTGTAATAAAACAAACACCTATGGCTATGAAACAACATGAAAAAAAAAAAAAAAGAATATGATAATATATCAGCCTTTACAAATGAATATCATCTATTCACTCATCGGAACCTGTCAAAACCTTAACCATAATCTGCATGACTTTGACCCTCATTTGCAATGACAAAATATATTCAGCTGTCTCCCTGAAAAGCCCATCCAAGCCCATGGAGTCGTTGTTTGGAATTAGCTTCTTTAGGGTTTTAACCTTTTGTTCAATATGGTTCATGGGCCTTCTGGAACCTTCTGAATGTGGCCTCCTCTTCATCACAATACTTCTGGGCCTTCTGCACCTAACACGCCTTACTTTTTTCCTTGCGACTGATCTCTGCTTCTTTGCTTTCAACCTTCTCTTGGGCGGTGCTTCCAAAAGTTTGCTCCACAAGGAACCATTGGACTCGGACATTTCCTCATTGCCTTGGATACCATTCGAATCAAATGAAGGGAGGGGAAGTGGTGAAATTCCCATGATTCAAATCAATTCTTTGCGTCTCAAGAAACTTGGAAGCACACCTTTCAAACCTTTAATTTGTTGCCAAGACAAAGAACATGTACAACACAAACGGCCAGATTGACAGCTTTTATATGGTTTTTTTTTTTTTTTGGGGGGGGGGGGTGGTACTGGATTGATGGCCAATAAGGATAATTCAAATAATTTAATGACAGCAGAAAAGGGTGGGGACGGGTACAATTTCATGGAAGGCTTCCAAGGGAATATGATGAATGAATAGAAATAGCCAAGTGTACCTAAGGGGTGTTGCTTCTTGCTTTGGGCATGTTCTCCAACTAGATGCACATGCAACCACATGATTCCACACCACCACCCAACCCAGACCCCCCTCTAGACCACCACCTGTCATCACCCACAATCCCATCAAAACACCCTGGATTATTCCTCCCCCACTTTCCAAATTCAATACATAGATAACATAAATTGGGGTCCTTCATCTCCTCTATCCAGCTCAATCAACATTGGCATTCCACGTTTATAGAACTTCCAGCCTTCACGGCCGTCTCATGGTGGTTAGCCCATGTTTCCAGACAGGAAGCCTAAGAATAAACTATGAAGGAATTTATGCGCCAGAAGATTGTAGCTTGTCAGTATATGTGTAAACAAAAGTCAAGACATTTTAGATCCTGATGTTGGGATAAGGCGGTTTCTTCTGACATTCATGAACTCATTTTCCATCAAAATGATGATTGTTTTCTTAAGGAATTAAGTATCTAAAGATCATGTTCGAACATGTTCTGATAAAAAAGTACACATGAAAACTTGATCACCAAGACGAATCTTAGGGACAAGGAAGCATGCATCTATCACCGCCGCCGATCCGATCTAGACGACATTCTCAACTTTCTTTGCCTTGGTTTCCACAAATACCTTTCAGGAAAAACTACGCAAGTTAGCTAGCATAAATATTTTAAGTGGGGCCATTCATAATTTTATTTGCTTTTGAACATATATCATTAACCAATTGTCAGGTAATTGCAAATAAAAAAAAGAATGAAAAGGAAATGATTCTAAACATCCCGTTCCATTAAAGGTGTAAAATTGCATGGTTTTAAACATGCAATCCTGACTAAAATATATAGACTAAGGAAATTTTCATTTTCTAATGAAATTTCCAGCAATGCCACTCAATCTGATTTGGAAGGCATACATTGTAGCATGTTCTCTTCCTGCTGTTAGCCTATTATCCAAATGCCCATATATATATTTACATAATTTAAATATATATATTTTCGGTATTACACATTTTTTTAACTTTTGATTTTAATAAATCCAAAAATAAGATTAAACTATTTTTACTTGTCTCTCTCATCCATTGGATCTATTAAAATTAAATGTTAAAAAAATGTGTAAAACTAAAAATTTTTTGTATTGTATAAGTTGATCAATTTATTGTGAAACTTTATATATATATATATATATATGTATGTATGTAAGAAGGATCTACTTACATGATGTAAATTTTTTTTTAGTTTTATATTTTTTTATCATTAATTTTAATAGATCTAGAGATGAGAAAGGCAAATAAACTACTACGTGAAATCTTAAAATAGCAAAAAATCCTAAGACTCTGAAAACCATCATTCAAAACTTTTTCATTTTACATATTTTTTATCATTATTTTTTATAAATTCAAGAGATAAAAGAGACAAATAAAAAAATAGTTTAATTTTATATCTTAAATCTATTAAAATCAATGATTAAGTTGATCCTTCCTCTATATATATGCTTTTGTAATTTCCGCCTCCTCTATTTTAAATTTTAATTACAAAACAAACAATTGTTGTGATAGCTTTGGCACATGGATGAATCCCTTGCCACATAATTGTAAATGCCATTGCCATTATTATTTGATTATCCATTAAATTTTACTAAAAAATGGAAGTGAATACATGTTATATTTGTAGTTGTGCAATGGTTCCGGTTATTAACTTATATTAGTTGTATTTAAGGCATGATTTATGGCTTGGTTTCCAATTCTCTCTCTCGATAGAGACCAAAGTTTCAAGGAAAACTGAATACTGTTAATTTTCGTTATTTTAAATGGGACAAAACTTACATTAAGTTTTTAAGGTAAAATTTATGAATGTTTTAAAAAATAATTTAATAAAAATTTTAAACTAATAGATTAATATAATTCAATATAAACATGAGAATATGTAAAAAACTATTAAAATATTATTTATAATTCAAATTTGATCAATACATATCTAATGGTAAAAATTTTGTTAATATTTTTATTAAAAATATTTATCTAAAAAATATATTAAAATATATATTTTTTTTTTCAAATTTTGTACACTTGATTTATGTATAAAAACTTTTCTATCTATCAAATTTTTTTTTTATTTCTGTTTAATCATTTTTAATAAAAAATTTCATGAATTTCATCTAAATCTTTTCCTTTGATATGTTACATTTAACATCCATGAACAATTAATTAGAAGATTTTTCATTTTTGATTATAATTGTGTAAATTTATGATTGAATTCTCAAACTTAACAATTCTCTTACAACATGTTTAGACAACATATAGGGGGTATTTGGTTCGTGGAATAGTAAATTTTGAAAAAAAGTGTGATATCCGAAAAAATGCAATACCTGAGATTTTTTTTCATTTTCAGGATATCTCATGTTCAGATTCACTTGTTTTGTTAGGGAATTCACATATATTAAATCATGAATAATTACTATAATCTCTTTGGCATATACGATAGTAACTTAAATAATCCAATTTTTAATTAAAGTAGATTATTCAAGACATTTTTAACAAAAAACATCTTGAATAATCCAAAACCAAAAATTTCCTTGAATAATCCCTTACAAAAAATTTAATTAAGGTTATTCAAGGTATTTTTGACAAAAAAAACCTTTTATAATCTCCTCATAAAAATTTTTAGAGATTATTCAAGAAGTTTTTGGCTAGAAACGCTTCGAATAACCCTATTTAATTTTTTGGTAAGGGATTATTGAAGGTATTTTTCATGTCAAACGCCATATATAAACCAAATTTTTTACCAGCAAAAACCTACAATTGACTTACATTCATTTCAGATATGTTTTTCAAATGGTAATAGCTATTTTGTAATTTTTTAGTCAAGTCCCCAGAATCTTAAAATATCACAAGAGAAAATAAGTTTTTGATTTGAGATTTTGGGTACTACTGAGAATCTATCAGTTTTTTCCAAAATCATATTACCCTAAACTAAACGTTTGAATCAAATATCCAACAATAAGATTTCGAAAAAAAATATATAAATTTTCTTGAACCAAATACCCTTTAAGATTGTTAATACATGTTTTTAGTAAGTGGAGGAAAAAACAAAAAGAAGACAATATTGGTTTTTTATAAATAAATTATTTTTATTTTCATTATTTGTAACGAATTAAAACATAAAATGCTTTTAAGTTTAAAAAAAAATCATTAAATGCTTTTTTTTCATTTATTTCTCATCCTTATAAAACATAAAATGCTTGAAATATGATACCTTTTTGTAGTCACACTAATGATTAAGTATTATATCTATATAATCAATCGAATAATTAACTATTATATCATAGTCAAATTATATTATTAAATAATAAATTAATAAATTATACGATATTTTGAAATAAATTATAATATATATATAAAATTATTAAATATATTGCTAATTAAATTTTTTAACTTTACAAATAAAATTAATAGGAAGATACTAAAATGATTTATGGATCAAAATAACTAAAATTGAAAATATTATTTTAATTTAAATTAATCATAAATTTAATTTTAATTCACTTATTATAAAATATATAAAATTTATACTAATATAAGATGAAATATTCGCATGGGTGTACCTCTAACTGATATTTAGGATCAGCAATATCCAGGAATGACAAGGAGGACCCAACAAGAGCACTTCCACGTGCAGAAAATGATCGCCCACACAAGCGAACCCAACAATATTGGTGGGGCCTTTTAGGCCTATGAAAGCAGGCCACACAGGGCCCACCATTCATCTTCCATGGCCATGATGTGCTTCTCCCATGTTCTCCTTGTGCTTTCAAAGCTTAGGCTTAGCTTAGGCTTACTTTAATTTTAATAGGGTTGAATTAACCTGTATCAATAAATAATAATTAAATATAATTAAATATTATTTTAAAAGCATTCACAAATTTATGTTTTGAGCATAATTCAAATATTTTTTTATAAATAAAAAATATTCAAAAAAATATTTAATGCATTATTTTCATAAAATTTAAGAATATATAACATTTAGTAAAATTTTTTAGTATCAAATGAGTTTGTTTGATTTATGGATGGGACTTGTTAATATTTATAAAAACTTGCCCAAAGCTTTGGTTAACTATTAAGTCTATTCGCTATTTTAGAATATTAATTAATTATATTCTTATTAAATTTTATTATATATTTTTATTAAATATTTTAAATTGAATTTTATAATTTTATGTTTATTGCTTTTTTTACTTTAATTATTTTTTTTATGTTTAAATAATATTAAATCTAGTTAGATATTAAAATATTATATTTATCTATATTAAATTTCAATAAATAAAGCTTGGACTTTTTATCCAATATATTAATAGATTAGATATTTATATTTCAATATAGTACTGAATCAATGAAATGAATATGATTAATTAAATTTATGATTATACTGAGATGAAAATGAGTAATATGAAATCCATCTTGTACTCATATCTTATTTATATATTTATAAATATTTAGTAAATAAATTTTTTATTAAATAATATAAATTATTATTTTAGATTAATTAAAATTAATATATTTTTATTAAAAAATTGCTTAAATATCTAAGATAAAAATAAAAAAATAAAACAAATTATTTTTTATTTTTTTTAAAGTTAAAGATTTGAAGATTATTCATATTCATTAAATATCAATAAAAATAAGATTAAAGATAAAAATAAATTTAAAATATTTATTTAATATATATATATATATATATACGAAAATAAATATAATATAAAAATTTAAGAATCAGAATGGAAAATATTCCCTACTGCATTACCTAAGGGTGATACAATGGCCAGGCTAGCACAATCCAATATTAAGTACGGTGCTGGGTCAAGTCCAAAATGGTAAAAAAAAAAAATGGGCTGTGTTGGCACAATTAGCAACCTATAAAGGCCAGTTCCTCTAATATCCGAATTTGCAGATAAAATAGTAGAAGCTGTCCATTTAGCTACTGAATTATTTTATCTCTTCGGTTTCATCAAATTATTACTTTCTATTTTTTTTTCCCCAATAACACATTTAGTATTTTGTGGCCAAACCTAAACACAAGTTCACAACATACTCTGTTATTGTACTACTTTGTATTAATAAACCGAAAGAAAAAAAAAGTAAATCATGAGCTATTGTACTACTTGGTCTTATCAAATAAGGCTGTTTCAGGTTTAGCTATAAAGTTTGAAGCATCCAACAGGTTTTATTATCATTTCAAAGCATTTCAAAATAGCAACACATAGTATATAAATACAGCTTCTCGCAGAAACACCTAATTTGCGAGACATTTTATTCTGCTATCACAACAGTTGCCTCACTTTAACCTCCAAACTCGACCAACAAAACGATCTACTGAAATTACAGTTCATCCTTGGCCTTGTGGCTGGGGGAAGCTTTTCTTATGTTATTAGAATGCAACTTCACAGGGTAAGAGGCTTCCAAAGTTAAACCACACAGCCCCTCTTCTGCATCAATGCCTCGTTGCATTCTTAAGTAATCGTTCTCTCCCCACTCACTGCCCCATGAGTTCTTCACTATCCAGTACTTTGTCCCATCCTGGGTTGCTCCATATCCTACCACTGCCACCCCATGGTTCAGCTCAGTGCCACAGTCTCCAGCGAACACCCCCTGCAACAAATTTTGTTGTTATGGGGATTGTAATAATTGCCTATTAGGCATTTTCAATGCATCGGCTTCTGCTTTTGCGTTTTCATTTTGCAGCCCTAATAGGTCACTAACCGCATGTTTTTATCAGTTTTATGGCTTGAAAATTTAATTACCCTGAGTAGAACTGGAAATCCTTGCCACCCGCATCTATAGCAATAGACACAAGTTGGTTTGCAACAGCTTTCATCAGAGCTTTTTCATCTTTTTCCGGCACCATTTCATAGCCATCAATGATCACCACATGACCATTCAACTGAAAAATCAGCGGGTAGCATATTCAAATCACCATATCTGCATAAAAACAGAATTAAGAGTTTCTTTTGTTACCTTGGATGAGTCACAGGACTCATCTTTGGCTTTGTAGGGGTAGTTATTCTCAGTTGTTAATCCATCACTTTGCTTGATGAACTCAAATGCTTGTTCCATCAATCCTCCGTCACAACCTTGGTTCTCCCCATATCAATCAACTAGCTCTTGCTCAGATAAATTCACAAGCTCTCCTGTATTGATTTTGTTTATACCCTCCACTGCAACTACAGTTGAAAATGCCAGCAGCTACCTGTGACATCAACAATTTTTTAATACTTTGTTACTGCAATTTAGAAAGTTTGAATGATACTTTAATCGGTCAAGCTCAGAATTTAAAATTCTTGGAAGCTTCAAAGATATTCCTTCCTTATGGTGAAACTTGATAACATTTTTTTTACTGAATTTTAATAGTTGGGTTGATTTGGGAATTGGCTGTTGAATCTATTAATAGATGCTTGCTGGTAGAAAACTTCAAAAGATAAGAGTCCTTTACCACATTTGCCTTGGTCCTTGATGCCAGTAACCGCTCCTTTCTTCCTCCAATCAATGGAGGGAGGAAGGCTGTCAGTTTTCTCATCAGTGAAATCAGTCATCCGCCTCGGACCTTGGAACATCCGGTAATGGCTAACCTTTGAGCTTCTTGTACTCATGAACTCATGGTTAGTCATATCTGCATACTCGTTCAGTTTCAACTTGTAAGGCTTATCCATATGGTTCACCTTGTGGATATGTTTCAGATTTTCCTTAAACACATTGAAACGCTTTTGCTTCTCCTTCAGGTCACGCGAGACCGTATGGTGGCTCCTCCATCTCTCATACAAGTCCCACAGGCTTTCCTCTGAGGCCAAGTCGCTCTCATGGCACTCGAAACTCTCAGCCAGCCCAAAAACCAGAGCCAACAAAAATACAACCAAGATTAACTTCCGTATGTCCATTTCCAAGGGCTTCAATACCATAAACGCAGGTTTCGTAGGTGAAATCCTCAACACGAGAATCCAAGGAAAACAAAAAATATCAATGTATGATATTCGACTACAATCAAAGATTTAATTCCTTGATTGTCTAGCGATGCAAGCATGTCCTTTTATGCTGATAAAGGAAGGGTGTTGGCATCTTAAGTTTACAAGGGTTTTACCAGAAATTAAGGCAAAAAGGGTGTGCTCTTTTTGGAGAATACAACTTTGCGCCTAGTTTAAGAGGCGATTTGTTAGAGTTTGTGAGTACTTACCAAAGATCTACATGCTAACCCACGCTGCCTTTGTTTAACTTGTTCATAGGAGACAAAATGATTATGTATTTGAAGCTGCCAGAGGATATAGAACACGATTTCTTGCATGTCCCGGAGAAAGCAGTACTCAAAACTGCTGTCTTTTCTTCCAAAAATCTGATATTTGTACACGTTGCATATAAACATGGTACACATGTTGCATTTGGACAGTAAATAACTGCTATGTACGAAACATGTGTAAAATATCTCAGCCTCATTTCATTCGAGCCCAGCTAGCAAATTAAGCATATGCTTTTGGCAGGAAAAAAGAAAGAAAGGGTGAGAAGAGAGCCATTCGCACTGGCTAACTCCAACTGAGAGGCTTTCATTCGTATAACATACATCCACCTTGCAACGGCCAAAATATACACGCACAAGAGTGTGGGAGACATGCAGCAACAACTTACAGAAATCTGTTATTGTTCCTGGTATGAAATGCTTAAACAAAAAAATCGAATTTAGCAAGTCCTCGGCAGAGTCAGCACCATCATGCTATCAGTTTGTATTCATCATCATTGGCATAATATCTGTCCACTAAACTAAATATCCTTAGCAATCTCACTTCTGACCTTAGGGAAAGTTGTCTTTGTAAGGCAGACATACATGATAAAACCCACACTTGCACCCACATCATAATGGACAGGGGGGGCAAATGGCTATTATCAAATAGTGAGCTTAAAAGTTATTCTTTCAAATAGAATGAATCTGGCCTTCTCAGATACTTCATATTTGAATACAGATCAAATACATTTTATCGTGTCTAAACATGGTAATAAACCATCAGTCATTCATAATGAGCAGAGAGATAGTGTGTGGCCGAGGAGTTGACAGTAACCACATGTCAGGCAGACAATATGATTGTTATATCATAACAGGGCAGTATTGTTGAAGCCTTGATGGCAAATAGATATGATAATACTGAAGTATTAAGAAACCAAAGTATTGTGGTTCCCATCTGTGCGTGCGTGCGTGTGTGTGTGTGTATAATCATGCTACACTTGAGAGTATTTGGTGAGCCTTTGATACATATATTTCATAAAAAATGTACTCCATGTCAAATAAAGTAGTGTTTCCTTTATAGAATGTCGTAAATCTAAACATTCAAATGCTGCTTGGTTGAGGATGGAAAAGAACACGTAGCCAAAGAAAACAGCTTACGTAGTTTTAGGTAAGGACTAACAAATCATTTTAGAGAAGGAAGGTGGTGCACATCATCAATATCAACAAGGTATACATTTCTTTCCACAAATAATGTACTAGTACTACTATTATTTTTCTCTCCCTCCTATGGTTCTTTGATTTAATTATTTAGCCCTCATCTGAAAATTAAAGGCAAGCACTCAGATTCTCACTCTTTCAACAAGAGAGATTAGCAGTCAAAATCTAAAAGAACTAACAAAAAAATGCGTCCAATAATCGACATAATGCAATTCATAAATTCCAAACATTTGTCTTCATCATGACAAATGAAAATGAGAAAGAAGCACACATAACATAAACAGAAAATTCCGTCAATTTCAAATAGATGGAGATAGGGTTTTATAAAGCAGAAGGAAACAACAATTCGTCCATGACATGATAGCACGGGTTTATCCAGCTAATCAAAGCCAATATTATGGTTTTCGACCATGATTCCATGAAGTCTAAATTAAAACAAAGTCCATGAAAAAAAAAAAAAAGAGACAGCAGCAACAAGAAAAGGACTTGAACGCAGAATTTACGCAAGACGATCATTCTGTTTGGCTTGCTGAAGCAGCTCTTCCCTCATTCTCCTGATCTCCGCTTCTCTCTCCAATCTCTCTTTCTGCAAATAAAATAATTATTCAAAAAATTATAATCAATAATCTAGGGTTTCATAACTTTTAATCTATTTGCAACTAACAAAATTGAAAGCATTTATCTAAGAATTCAAATGGAAAAAACAATGGGCATATTTCGATGACCTAATTCGGATTTAAAACTAGAATTGAAATAAGTAAAATAAGGGGAAATAACAAAAAAAAAAAAGAAAAAGTGAGAGAGAGAGAGAGAGAGAGAGAGAGAGAGAGAGAGAGAGAGGGGTTTCCTGGACCTTCTCGTCTTGGTGGAGGGCGATCCAGACGTGGACTTTATCCATGGTTTGCCAGAAAACAAAGGCGCCCAGTGTCATTGCGAAGTAAGTGGCCACTTTCACCATTTTTCTCTTTTCTTCTTCTCCGACTTTGAGGTTGCAGAGTCGAGATTCTAGTCTCAGCCGCTTGATTGATAAAAGGGGATCTTTATATGCAATACAAAAATTTCTCTTTACAACTCAATTTTTTTTTCCAAAAGTACTTTCATAATAAATATCAATTTTAACATTTAATAAATAATTAAAATACCTTCACCAACTTATACACTTTAAAACCATTTTTGTATATCTCAAAAATAAATTTTGGCGAATTAAATCATATTCTCAACAATCCATTTAAAAAAAAAAAATGATTCTTAAAAATTTATTTTTTAAAAAAATAATATAATTTACAAATATCGATTTTTGAAAATTATATTACATTCTCAAAAATAAATTTTTAAAAATCATTTTGTATTCTCAAAAATTTATTTTTTAAAATACATAAAATTTTATTTAAATATATATTTAATTATAAACTCTCGATAATATTTAATTTTAATTTAAATAAAATTAATACATTTAATCTTTAAAAAAAGATAAAATATATAAATCTACACTAAGTTTTTTTAAAATAATCACTTAAGTATTAATTTTTTTAATTTAATCATTTAAGTTTGAGTTTATTAATTTTTTAATCACTCTACCGTTAATAACTAACAACCTGTTGATGTGGCACTATTATATTAGTTTTAGGTGCCACGTGGTATTGCCACATCATCTAACAAGCCACGTGCATTGATCATGTGGCATTATAAAACTTAAAAAATTTTTTTCTAGTGGCGTAATTTAAAAATTTTTATTTTGATTACTTAACTTTAACTTTTTACAATTTAGTCACTAATAAATAAGTCTTTAATTTTTATAAAAAAGTAGAAATAAGTATTGATATTTTTATTTCATGGAATTAAATTATAATTTTTATTTTATTTTATTGTAATTGTATCATTTAAATTTGAAAAATGAATGAATATTATCGAATACCAAACTTAAAAAAAATTAACGATTGAGTGACAAAAAAATTTTAAAATTATAAAATATGAAATTTATTAATATTTTATCCTTCATTGTTAATGACTCATTGTCATTGTGAATTTATAATGAATTGATCACCAATTATTATAAAAGTTAATATAATGAATTATTTTATTATTTATGTTAACTATTGAAAAATATTAGGATAATATTCAAGTGTTAGGGTTTAAGAGATTTAGGTTTAGGGTTTAAGTGGTTTAAAGTTAAGGTTTAGGTGGTTTAAGGTTTCGATTTTAAGTTAGGGTTAGGGTTTTTTGCTAGGGTTTTGACTAGGTTAAGGTTTTTGGATATGGTTAGAATATATCTAATGCAAAAATATATGAAATTATGACTTATCCTAATTTTCAAATACGTCATTGAATTTTACAAAGGAATAAATATTTAATATTTTTATTGTTATTTTGTTATAATTATACCAATTAAATTTGAAAATAGAAGAATATTAATCAATTGTTACTAAATATTATTATTTCAGATATTTATCGTTTAGTTAATCTAAATAAATTTAAGTAACTATTTTAAATTTTTACATTTTGGTTATCATTGTTTGTGAAATTATTAATATTTAGATGTTACCTTCAACGTAATTTTATAACAATTTAATCACCAATGGTTTGTAAATTTTAATATAATAAATTATTTTTATTTTATTTTGTTATCTATATTTCCTTTAATATTTTATTACATGAAATCAAAACTAAATCTTGATATTATGAAATATGAAATACTTAATTGAGTTTATTTAAATGAGCTTAATGACAAAAATGTGAAATAACATTATTATAGTAATTTTTTCAAATGGATAATATTCTTTCATTTTTCAATTTTAAATGGTATAATTGTGATAAAATTAAAAATTAAAAATTTAATTCTATGCAATAAAAATATCAAATACTTATTTCTATTTTTTTTTTATAAAATTTGAGGACTTATTTGTTAGTGACTAGAATAAAAATTCTTAAAAACTTAAGTGACTAAAATTTTTTTATTTATTTTAAGTTTTATAATGCCACATCGCTTATTAAATGAGGTGGCAGTGCCACTTGTACCTTATACTAACATGGCAATGCCTTATCAGCACACCATCAATCATTATGGTAGAGTGACCAAAAAATTAATGGACACAAACTTTGTGACAAAATTGAAAAAATTAATACTTAAGTTACTATTTTAGAAAGACCCATAAAGTTGAGTGATCATTTATATATTTTACCTTAAATAATACTAAAATAAATCAATCTCTTTATCAATGTCTGGTACGAGAAAATTGGATATGCTAGGATCTTCAAACATTTCTAATAATTTCTCTTTGAGCTATGGCTCAATTTTGACAATAGAGATCTTTAATCTTTAGGTCACTGACAATGTAATCAGCATATTGGCAAATCTAGCAATAAGGACTGGTGGCTGAAAAATTAAAGATCCTTACTTTTGATTCGCTGGTTTGCTGATGATATTGTCAAGGTCAATGTTTTATAGGGTGTTTAAGCTTGGAATAGAATGTATGCATACATATAAGTCATCAATGTACCAATTCTTGATCATATGTATGAATGGAAGAGATATGTTAGTTCTCAAGTATGTATGGGCATAAAAATGTTTTTGTCTTGAGACTAAAAAACTAAGACACCTTTTTATTCATGCAAAACTAGAAAACTAAAAAAGGGCATTATCGATTCTATGAAGTTTGAAGAAAAAGAACAAGTTTATGTTATACATATTGAGAACATCGATTTTAGTTCCATTCACACACATTATCAAGTAATTGAGTTCATAAGTGCATAATTAAGGTTTTCAGTAATTAAAAGTAAAATTAAGTTTCTCGAAAATAGATATTTAAGAAAACTCAAAACTTTGAGTTTTCTCGAATATCTATTTTCGAGAATCTTTGAAGTTTCTCAAAAATGAATATCTGAAAATTCTTAAAATTTCTCAAATATCTATCTCCGAGAAACTTCAAAACTTCTCAGATATTTATTTTTGAGAAACTTAATTTTAGAAAATAAAGAGAGAAGAAGAGAGAAAGGGTAGAAATGGTACATAAAAAGTGAGGGTTGGAGGTTTATTTAGTAGAAATAGAAAATTAAGTTTTGAATTTGAGATGTATTTAGAAATGGGTTGTATAGAGTAGAAAGCGAGGTGCAAATAGCATTTCCTTTGATAAAATTCCAAAATTGCCCAAGGAATTTTAGAATGGACTTCATCTTATTTTCTCCCTTAATGCACTCTGCTTTCTAGTCGTCCATCTTCCATATCTGACCTACTAAAAAACGTCACATTTTTCTCTTTTTGTTACTCATAGTTCTCTTAAAATTTTGGGTAATTATTTCTTAAAAAAAAAAAAAAAAACATAAGGTAGTTACAAATTTATAAAATTTTTTTAGTAAAATATACTATTATCTCAATAAAATAAATAAATTTATTTGGAGAATTTTGTGTCAACATTATCATATTTATATATATTATATTACAAAATATATAATTACATGATAAGGTATGCCACGTGGATGACAAGGTAGGACGACAAGGTAGATAGCTTATATTTTTTACACATAAGATAGTGATTTAATTTTAATTCTCTACTTTTAAAAAAAAAAAAGATTCTCTATTAAATAATCCTATTTAATTAATTATTTAATTTTAAAAATATTTGAAAATTTAAAAGTTAGGATTATTCAAATCTTTTAATCATTTTATCTTAATTTGAATAAGATAAAATTTATCTCAAAATTTACTCTTTTTTTTTTTTTTAAATAAAAGATAGATTCCATTAAATAGAAGGAGTACATTATGAGACAAAAGTATAATGTAACAACGAGGGGTAGTTCTCCATCTAGTATTTGTCACTCTTCAGCTTCAGTGCATGCCATACCAACTTATGAACAACTTCATTTCCTTGACGTCTTGTATGCTCTACTAGGAAATAATTATATCCCTGGCACATTATCCTCACTTCATCCGGTATATATTACCAATCATGGACAAATCCTTTGACTGCATTCCCAACATGTTTATGATTTCTACAGCATCTCCTTCCATGATTACCGTAGTAAAACCTAAATCCCTTGCAAAAGTGATCCTTGTTAGTACTGCGCACGCTTCGATTACTGTAGGATCCTTCACCCCTTCTAAATATCGTAGAGCTGCTCCCAGGACTTCATATTACTTCTCACCAACTACTCCTATACCAATGATCGCTTCTGTTATCTTTACTGCTCCGTCAAAGTTGACCTTTACAAACTCAGCTGGAGGTGGTTTCCCTGTAATGTGGCCATCCACCTTTCTCACTTGTTTCTTTTAGCATTTTCTAAATTCCTCTATATAATTAGTGGCAAAGCTGGTTGTAACCTGAAGGTTTCGTAGCTCCCCTTCCTTGATAAACAAATTCCTATTATGCCCAATTGCCCAGCAAACTGTTAAGCCTTTCTCAAAACTATCTGTGTCCATCGATTCCACCAACCCAGTTAACTAACCCTTTTCTGTTGCATGAGACTGGTCCAACCACCTATTATCCACTTTTGCTGCTGTCCAAACCTCCATTGCTCTATTACAGTCCCATACCGCATGTATGATAGTCTCTTCGTATTGCCCACAATGTGGACACAAAGTTGGTGTTTCAATATTTCATGTTCTCAAGTTACAAAGAACTAGTAAAATTCCATAGTTCAGCTTCCAACCAAAGACCTTGATTTTCATTGGGATACCTGCCTTCCATAGCCTGGCCCAACACTTCTTTGCACTATCGTGGTTCCCTTGATTATTTTGTGTCTGCTGCGTATGTAGCTTTGCATGGTATGCACTTTTGACCGTATAATATCCTCTTCTCTCTCGACCCTATACCAGATCATCATTGTGATTGAGCTGACCAAGCGAAATGTTGCATATTTGGTTAGCAACCTCATTTCCAAACACTTCAGATAGAACATCCTTCTTCCATGTCATATTTTGATGCTCTATCAGTTCTGCAACAGGTGCATCCTCATGCAGTCGACTTTGATTTGCTGGGAATACTAATAATCTACCATCCTCCATCCATGCATCATGCCATATCCTGATTTGCTTTCCATCTCCCACCCTCCATCTTAGGCCAGCCTTTAACACATCTTCGGCAGTCCAGATACTTCTTTAAGTGAAGG